ACAGTTACTCATATTTTGTATTTTAAATACGTAACGGCGGTACATGTATTCCGTTACTCCCCAACACTGCATACAGACCACTTTGATCCTCAGTGAAACTCCCCTTTCAGTCAGTGTAAAGAAGTTTAACAACACAGTCAATCACTGAGATATCTTAAATACAAGAAAAGAAGCGCAATTTAAACAGCACACCTCAGTTTTTTTAAATGATAAATGCTGTAGTAAGAAATCTGTCAGCACGACTCTTAAACTGTAAGAAACAAATGCCTTGAGTTACAGAAGAAGTGTATCCAATAGATACACAGTGTAATCTTTGGTATCGCATGAATGGTCATGTGGGAAGTCTTTATCGGTAAAGATAAAGCTGTAAAAGTTACAAAAATACAGTTAAATGTCGAAAATGAGTGCCTTCTTTCACATTTACCAAAGCTCTCCAGTTGGACGTCTTTGCAGGGACGATTCTGGGTCCTGGTGTTTGACACCCCTGATCTAGATCTCCCTGCCGTGTGTGTGTGTGTTTGAGGGGGGAAATCTCCCAACGGAACCTGCAGCCAGCTGGAAGCAATGTGTGATGTGTGTTTTTTGAGTGTGTGTGCTAGAGTGGATGTGGGCTCTGATATGTGTGCGTGTATTTGTGCAGTACAGGCTGGACAGTCACTCCATAAATCAAGAGACCCCTGCCCTCCTGGCCCTTCTAACCCTCTCGGCTCAATATCATAACAAATAGCCCTTCAGAATAATATAAAGTCTGTCTTTGAGATAGGACCGCGCGCCGTCCGCTAACGTGCCGCTCACAGACCCCATCTTTTTCTGCGCCTCTGAAGAGGTTTATTTATCCTCTACAAACTTCTCGATGAAAAGGCCTCTTTATGTGGGGGAACCTTTCCACGCCTGTCTTTCTCCCGCTCGAGCGCACACGCTGAAGGACTGAGCGACGGATCCCGAGGAACAGGAAGGAGCGTAGACCAGACCGAGAAGCCGCTGTCGCATCAGGACTTTTTAAGGGAAATTCTCAAGTTGTTAGCAGATCTCAAAGGTTTTCGCTCGGAGAAAGAACACAAGGTTTTGATAGAGATGTGAACAAATGCAGGCCAACATCACAAATATAAAAAAACTGTGCAGTCTTGAATAAGGCACGCTCCTCTCTGCCTTCTCAGTGCGTGCATGTGCATCCCTGGGCTTTCCTGTTTCTGTGGTCTGCCACCCTGTTTTCGCTATATTTGCTTACATGTCTAGATCAGATTTTCCCCCCTAAATCGAAGCTTTTGACACCAACGTCTGAGCGATGGGGGGAAAAGAGGAAGATCAAGCAGGGTCGAGTCGAGCAAG